TCAGGTTCCCGCAGTCAGCGGGAGGGGGCGGTAATCCACCCGAGCCCAGCGCCGGGCGGGGGCGGCGGACCGAGGTTATTTATAAGCGCCGGGCCCGCGATCCGCGGCGATTCGCCCGTCGTCTCCGCCGCCGCCCACGGCGGACAAACAGCCCTGTGTGCGCCCTGGTCGGCGCCGCTCCCGGGAGGGCCCCGCAGGAAGCAGGATGTTGACCCGGAGTCGCGGGCGGGCCACGCGGGAGCGGCGGGAGGCGGCTGCGGGTGGGGGAAGGGCAGGGGCGATCCTGTTCCCTTGCTTCCTAGGTTGCAAATGTTCTGATCTATTCTGGGCGGCCGTTTTATTGACAAGCTAGGCCTCCCTAGGCCGGGCTGCCCGAAGGGGACGCCCTCTCCCAAGCCAGGGGTGAGGAGGCCGCGCTGGGCTCCGGCGGCTTCCCCGCGACCTTGCTCCTGCCAGGTGCCGCTCAGGCCCACAGGGGCAGTGAGGGTCGCTCTGCCCACCCTGGCAGGCTGCCCGCACCTCCTGAGGACGGCTCCGCCTCCCAGGCCTCAGCTCCCCCACCCCATGGTCTGGGGGAGGCCCCCGTGGGAAGGTTGCCCATTCATTCGTTCGTTCATTCATTCCTACTACAAGTTTTGCTGGGCACCTACTAGCTGCCGGGCACCACCCCCCAAACTCCTGGTGGAGCTGCGGAGCGCCGACCATACCCAGAGCTGGGGTCCCCTGATGGAGCCCCACTGCAGGCAGTTGGTGAGATCTTGATGTGTGAGGCCCAGGAGGGGAGACTGGGGCAGGCATGGGTGCGGGGGAGGGACAGAGGCCAGGTGAGTGGGCACCAACATCCCAAGCTCCCACAGGGCAGAGGGTGGAAACCTCACCCAGCACCCAGTCTTGGGAGTCATAGTGCAGGAGGCCGTGGTCCAGGATTAGCCAGGAGCCGGCTGTGCCCAGGACCGGGAGATGAGGGTGGGGGCAATGAGGGGTGCTGTCTCCCTTTGTGCCACGCCCTCAGGCGCGTTGAAGGACTTGGGACTTCGGCTCTGTGGCGGGTTTCAGCTCTGGCTGCCTGTGGTTCTGGTCTAGACCCGTGACCCCTGCCCCTCCATGACCAGCTCAGCCTCGGGGTGTGGCCTGGGCCAGCGGCAGAGCCCCGAGTGGCCTGTGCGCCTGTGTCCCTGTGTGCGTGTCTCCAGTGTGCAGGGCCTGCTGAGGTCCGTAGGGGTGCAGGGGTTGTTGGGGGAGAGCCTCGGGGTGGGGGGAGACTGAGGAGCTAGGCAGGCCTGAGAGGAGTGCCTCTCCCTCTCCCTGCACCCCCCACGCCCACGGGGTCAGCCTGTGGCCGCCAGCCCTGACCAGTCAGTGAACTCAGGGTCTGGAAGCGTCAGCGGCTTTTCCGACCTTTTTGCCAAATGGGATGTCAGCGGGGGGAGGGGGGTGCAGGCTGGGGAAGGTGGCAATGACTTCATGACAACTGAGCAGCTGGGGACAGGGGGCGGGGAGCAGGGGCCTGGCTGGGCCAGAGACTTGCCCATTGGCCTCTGCTCAGGGCAGAGGCTGCAGCTGCACTCCGCAGGGGGTGGAGGCAGCCCCACCGCGAGGCGCCGTCTCTGCGGGTGTCCTCACATGTGACCGCAGAGAAGCCCACGGCCACCCCGTTTACAGAGGAGGCCGAGGCTCTGAGAGGCGGCCACCGAGCTGGGGTGAGTGGGAGACCTGGACTGGGAACAGGGTTCAGCGGGTTTCCTTCTGTGCCCCCCAAGGATGTGGTGGGGGCAGGGCGGCCCTTAAAGGCAGCTGCTCTGTCACACTGCGCACTGTGACAGCTACACTCCTCTCAACAGCCACCCAGGCAAACATCTTATTTGAAAGGCAGAGCAATGGGGTAGGGGTGGGGGAGCAGGGAGAGCCAGAGAGCTATCTTCCATCTGCTGGTTCGCTCCCTAAAAGCTGCAACAGCCAGGGCTGGGCCAGACTGAAGCCAGGAGCCTGGAACTCCATCCGGGTCTCCCATGTGGGTGGCAGGGGTCCAAGGACTTCCTAGGCACATTAGAGGCTGGATCGGCAGCAGAGCAGCCAGGACTCAAACCGGCGCTCACATAGAATGCCGGTGTCGCAAGTGGCAGCTTCACCCGCTGTGCCACGCACCGGCCCCAAGGGGTAACTACTTGAGGAGCCCTCCACACACACACTGCTGTACGATTCGGGGGTGGAGAGCAGGCATCAATCACCACGTGGTAGACGGAAGCCTCTTCACTGGGTGGCGGGCCCTCTGTCCAGCGCAGGCTGTCTTGGTTTTGTGGGGCGCGGCTCCCTTATGGGGCCGGAGGGCCCTGTCTCGGGTGGGTGTGAGCCTTGCCTTTGTACCCAGGAGCTGAGCTCAGCTCCGGGCCTGCTCTGTCTTTGGCCATTTACTAGTTTCCCATAATAATAGTAATCACCACCCCTGCCTCTGCGGTGGAGTTCTCAAAGCACTTTCACAAACACTCATTTAATCCCCGCACAAGCCCTGTGATGAGGACTTCATAGACCCATTTTATAGGACGAGAAACTGAAGCTTAGGGAGGGCGGTTCTGGGCTTGGCCTCCGATCACACGGCCGGGAGGCGGCCGACACGCTGGCCTCTCTGAGCCCCAGGCCCGGCACCTTGCACAGCAGCCGTCTGTCTCTGCAAAGCCGCTGGTGACCGTGTGGCTTCTCCCAGGGAGGACCTGTCCGGAGCTGGGAGCTGGGTGGGCTCCGCACCCCACCTTCCCCTCCTGCTGATACTGGGGGCATGGGAAGCAGCAGAAGTGGCTGGCACAGAAGGAAGCTGGAAGGAGAGTGTTGGGGAGGGGGCCCCGAGGCCAAGCCAGCTGCCCTTGGCACAGGGGCCAGGCTGAGCAGTGCAAGGGACCGTGGGTTCCTGGAGCACGAGGCCACGCATAGATGCCTGGAGCCAGCTGCAGCCCTGTTCTCCCCTGCCCAAGGCAAAATGATGAAAATAAGGACAGTGGAGTGGGGTCTGCTTGGAGCTAGGTGCACCAGGCCCGAGAGACGGCCCGTTCATCTGAGCTATGCATTTTCAGGCCCGTGTGGGCTCCAAGGGGCCTCTCCTTTGACATTTCCTTTTAATGCCCTTAACTCAGCAAAATAGAAAAGTGGTGACCGGGTCAGATCCTACATTGTCTTTTTGGAAAGGTTGGTCATGAGAGACAGCAGAAAGCCTGGGAACCCCTGAGCTGGCCGCTGCAGCCGCTGTTGGAGAGCTGGCGAGCAGGGGGTTGTTTGCGAATTGAGAGATGACATCTGAACAGCTGGGGACTTCTCCGGGGGCGGGGGCGGGTTGGCGGCTCATGCCCAGCTCCAGCCCCTGCGGCCCCAGAGACCAGGCATCCCCAGAAACCCGGGCAGAAGGAACATTCGAGTAACTGTCCTGGGAATTCTGAGAAGGCCTTGGGGGCCCGATCTCCAAGCCCCGCAGCCGCAGTTCCTCTCTGACCTGGAGCCAGAAGGAAATGTTCTCTAAAACCCCACCTCTCACTCCCCCAGCTTCCCCGAGGCTGGGTCCAAAATAGTGCAGGCCATTGGAGGAGAAGGCAAGTGCCCGCTGGCCGCCTGCCCCTCCAGCCTGGCCAGATAGAGAAGGACACCAGATGCCAGAGGGGCCCCGGGGCCTGGGGAGCCCCACCCCCATCCCTTCCGAGGCCCACCCCCCACTAACCCAGGCAGCTGGGAGCCTAGCGCCCCTGGCCGGGCTGGGCGCACTTGGGGACATGTCCCAACAAGCCCAAACAGAGCAGGAGGCTGGCCCGAGAGAGCACAGGGCTTGGGCTAGGCGTCAGCCTGTGGACACCTCTCTCTGGGGGAACTCATAGCACTTTTATTATAAGTGTGACTTCCTGCAGGGCACTCTGTGAGCCAGCAGGAGCCCCAGAGAGAGGAATCACACCTGCTCGCCATTCTTCCAGCTTCTGAAGGAGACCACAGCCATAAAACTGGGGGTGTTGGGTGGGGGAAGAGAGGGGAGGGCAGGAGGCAGCTCAACCTCCAATAAACCACGAGTCTGATCGAATCACAAATAATCAGTCCTGATCACAGGGCTGCCTCCGCCCTCCTCTCCCGGGAATTAAAAGTCAAAGGGCAGAGCTGCTGACGCAAATGTCAGGGGAGACAGCTGGGAGCCTGCTCCCCGGCTGCACCGCTCCAGGGCCCAAGGGCTTGGACTCACCGTCCCCCAGGCCAGCCCCCAGAGCCCTGGTTGTCAAGGCAATGCAGGGAAGGGGGTCCGGCTCCCTGTCCTTCCTCCTGGCTTTGAGGTCACCAGAACTTGAACCCAGGTTGGTGATTCCAGTGGGAAGGCAGGTGCCCGGGAGATGGGAGAAGCAGCCGCTGGGCCTCTGCCAAGCTCTCCCCTTCCCACTCAACAGAAGGGGAAAACCCTCTGACTCCCTTGCTAGGAGTGTCTGGCTCCCCAGATCCCACTGGGCCCCTTCCCTAGGTTCACCCTAGGCAGCCAACACCCTGGGCAGCTGCACCAAGTGCATGCATCAGTGGTGCCCCCCAGTGGTCAGTGTGGGACTTGAACTTGGGCCTTGGGCACCACCGTTGTAGATCCTGCCAGGCAGCCTCCGCCCAGGGCCCCGGGATCCTGTGGGGCCCCTGCCGTGTGAGCAGTGAGGGGATCTGATTTTGGTAAGGGGGCTGTGGCGTGGGTATCAGGTAGCTGCCGTGTTCTCCCGGCACTGTAGCTTGATCTCGGCCTGAATGTCCAGTGTCAGCGCGTCAGCTTCACTGTGTCTAAGAATGAACTCACCATCTTCCAGCCCCAAACCTGCTCCTCCTCCTGACGGCCCTTTTCTATTAATAGCTCCGCCACCGTCCCAGTCGCCAGCTCCAGACCTCCGAGTCATCCTCAGTCCTCCCGCCTCCTCACTCAGCAGGCAACTCCTGTATCACCCTCCTGCCTACTCACTGCCCTGCCCTGCCCTGCCGGGGGCCCCCTCTCCCCAGCCACTGCCATCCTCAACAATGCCGCCCGGCCAGAGCTGGGCACGTGATCCGCCTCCTCAGCTTGCAGGCTGTGTGACCTTGGGAAAATTACTTCAGCTCTCTGAGTCTGCTTCCTCAGCTGTCACACGAGGCTAAGGCTGCGTGAGTTAAATGGTAAGGTGTACATCGTAGACACCATAGGAAAGGCGTCCAGCCCGGCTCCTCCATCTTACAAACAGGGAAACTGAGGCCTGGCGAGTTGGACCAAGAGCTCACATCTGGCATTGGGTTCCAGGTGTCCACACCTCGCTACAGAGCCAGGGCTTTGGAAGTGCTGCTGTTTTTAGCGCCTCCCAACCCCCCCTCCCCCCAGTATCACATTCTGGAACCCAGAACAAAAGGCTACCTCCTGAGTTCATGGGCTTCAGGGGGCAGGTGCGCCTGGGTAAGGGTTGAGGTCACTCAGCCACAGCAAATATTTTCTGAGATGGGACGAGCACAGGTCACGTCCAGCCGGCTGAGTCGGGGGGGACCCATCTGTGAGATGATGAGTGCGGCTGAGCCTGCGGCTGGCACATCTGCCTGCCTTGGGGCGAGCAGGGGTGTGGCCACAGTCAGATGCCCAGAAAGGGCGGGTGTCTCTTCCCCCATCCCCTCCACGTGACTACGACGCAGGGGGCCCCAGCGGGAGGGCAGGCTGACTCAGCGGCTCACATGCAGGCCTGCTTCCCTGCGGGCAGCACTTGGCATTCCCGCCAGGAAGGAGCACCTGGAGCCCTGAGTGGCCGCCTTGTGCTGTCATCAGATTTTCAAAGGGGATGTTACCCCCCCACACCCCCACCCCATCCTCCCCCAAGGAAGCAGCAGCACAGAAAGCAGTCGTCCTGGCTTCAGCATTGGAAGATCCAGGTTCCTGGACAATCCTCAAATAGGGATGATTGTGTCCCCAGGGGACACTTAGCGTGGGGGACAGGTGGGGACACACTGGCATTTAGCGGAGAGAGGCCAAGGATGCGGCTCAGCATACATAACGCACACAACAGGTGCCACACAGAGACCGATCCCGCCCAGCTGTCAGCTGCGCCAAGATCCAGAAGCCCTGGCCTAAGACTCGGCTGCCAGGAGCCCCGGGCCCGGCTGAGCCCAGCTCTGAGGCCGCCAGACTCCTTCCTTTGCGGAGTGGTGACACAGCTGACCTGCTGGACCGATCTGGGTGTTCCCGCCCCATCCAGGGCAGGCCTTCTAAGCGAGTTGCATGCTCTCTGTCAACTCTTTCAACCAGGAAGAAGCAGGCCCGGAAGGAGCGGGCCACCTCCTGGGCCCTCACCATGCCACCTACCCCAGCTCCCCAACCCCCATGCGCTCCACCCCACCTACCCCTTCTCCAGGCTCTCCTTAGCCTGGGCCTCAGAGCCCAGGGGTGGGGAGGGGATTTGTTGGGGAGCAGTCACATGCAGAGGAAGGGGATGGCCAAGGAAACCCTTGGAGGCGATGTCAGGACCTGGCAGGTCCTTCCACATAGCCATCGCCTGGCTCTCCTTCACCTGGCGGCCGAAGGTCAAGTGTCTCCTCTACAAAAACTGTTCCCTGGGGCTGGCGCTGTGGTGCAGCAGGCGAAGCTGCCACCTGCAGTGCCCGCATCCCATATGGGTGCTGATTTGAGTCCCCGCCGCTCTACTTCCCATCCAGCTCTCTGCTATGCCCTGGGAAAGCAGTAGAAGATGGCCCAAGTGCTTGGGCCCCTGTACCTGTGTAGGAAACCCAAAGAAGCTCCTGGCTCCTGGCTTTGGATCAGCTCAGCTCTGGCCATTGTGGCCATCTGGGGAGTGAACCAGCGGATGAAAGACCTCTCTCTCTGCCTTTGCCTCTCTGTAATTGTGCCTTTCAAATAAATCTTTTTAAAAAATTCCCTTATAAGTTAAGTCTCTGCTTTGTTCCTTGGGTCTGGTGGGTGGCCTCAGATGGGAGTCCGTCCCCCCGCCCCGCCCCACCCTGGACGCCCCCCCAAGCCCTGCCTGGTTGGCTCAGGCATCCCAAGAGTACCAGATGCTGGGGTCCCCACAGAGGGCGGTAACCAATGCATGGCCATGACGGGGGTGGGGGGATGGGAGGAGTGGGGGCTTTCTGGCACTGCTCACATGCAGGGTCTTGGGACTTCTCACACACTGCACCCTCTGGGCCCCAGCTGTCTTGGGGAAGGGGAGGCGAGCAGCTGCTTTTGCAAAGGTGGCGGTGGGGGCAGAAGACATCAGTGGGGTGAGCAGGAGAGAAAAGCCTGGGGCCCCTTCCCTGGGGGCCCCTCTCTGCCCCCCACTGGCAATTTCTTCCTGACCTGTGCTGTCTGGCCTGTACCTCGTCTTCCATAGCCGGGCCCGGCCAGCCCTGACTGCCCACCTGCTGCCAGCCCCCTCCTGCAGGGGCTCCAAAGCCAGGGAAGCAGCCTGCGCCTGCCCCAGGCTACCTGCCCAGGGTGTCATCCCAGCATGCACCCGGGCCAGGCTCCTTAGGAGCTGTGCCCAAAGCTGTCTCCCTGCCCGCAGCTCCACACGGGAAACTGGGCCCCGGGGGACTCCAGATGGTGTGTGGGTGGGGGGAGCTGTCTCTCTGACCCAGAGCGGGGGGGCTGTGCACCAGGCATTCCCACTGCCTGAGCAGCCCTGAGTCCTTGGTGAGCACTGCTGCCAGGCGCCCCCTCCTCCAGGCCGGAGCCCCCTCTTCTGTGTGTGCCTCAGCTCGGGGGGCAACCCATGCTGGCTGTAGCTCCTCTGGGTGCCCTGACTGCAGGGAGGCCCGGGGAGGTGGCAAGGTTGCTTTATACCCCGTATCCACCCCAGCTCAGCCAGCTCCCTCAGAGTGGGGAGCACGGTTGAGCCGCCTTCCGCCCTGGGGCCACAGTCCGGGCCCTCACCTGCCCCCACCAACTTGGTGCTGCCCCCATTCCTCTCCCTCCTCCATCAAAGGGGCCCAACAGCCCTTGCAGCTAACCTTGGTGGGGTGTGTGGAACCATGAGGCAGACAGAGGGGGTAGCACCCACAAGGCTCAACCCTGTCACTTCACAACAGTGCAGGGCTGCGTGTGGAGGCAGGCAGGGAAGAGGAGACTGCCCAGGGGCACCCGTGGAGGTTGGTTCCAGGCACACAGACTCTCTGGCCCTAATCCCCACCCGCTGCCCCACCCCCCACCCCACCCCCTGCCGCTGCTAGCAGCAGTTGTAAGACCCAGGGAGTCCACGTGGATTGGCTGGTGCTGTGACCTGCTGCGTTACATAACTCCCGCTCGTGCTCGGCCTTGGACGCAGCGGCTGCTGAAGCCACTCGCCACGTGGATTCCGTGACATTTCCTTTCGCCTAGTGCAGAGGCCACAATGGCGGCGGCGGTGGCAGCAATGCCTCTGCAGCTTCAAAGACCAGAAATTGGTGGTGTGAATGCTTTCAAAAATTCACTTTACATCGCCGGGTCAGTGTTCTCCCACCCACATCAACCCCGGCCCATCAGCAATGGACCCGGGCTCTCAGCCCTTTGGGTCCTTGGGCAATAGGCTGCATGGGTGGGGGAGCTGAGCAGAAGTGTCTTCCCCTGCCTGCAGTGAAGGAAAGGGCTGGGGAGGGGAGACCAGGCTGGGAGACCCCAGGGCAGCCTAGTAGAACCCTCTGAACCGAGTCAGGAGCTCTAGGCTTTTGCCCTCGGCTTGGTAACCGCCATCGTGGCCCCAGCTTGCTTGTCAGTAAACAGGACCAGGCTACTTTATCTCACCCTCGGCGCTGCGGCACCCTGCTTGGTCCGGCCTGGTCTGCCGTCCTGGGGTCGCAGCCCAGTGAGGATGAAGGGGAGGGATGAGGGGCTGGCAGCCTTCGAGCTCTACGCCTGGAAGGCTGCCACCTGTTAACATGGCGCCACCTTGTGTTCAAGAGGGAGCACAGCCAGATCTCTGCCTAGCCAGGCAGCTTTCCTCTTTGCTGCTGTGGGAGGGGTGGTATTGTAAACCATGGATCTTCCCTAATCAAGCTTGGCATTCCAGCCCCTCCGCTCTGCAGAACAGTTCTTGGCAGGCTCTGATGCCATCCTCAAGCAGATTTGGAGAACCCCTCCTAGGGTCAGGGAGGTACGGAGGGCAGTCCGTGATGCCGGGAACCCAGGCATCTCTTCCTCTGAACACTCCTCCCACTGATAAGAGTTCTTGATGCCTGGAGGACCAACTGGAGCATCATACGAGGCAGTGTGCACCACGTGGGGCAGGCTGCCAGAGTTCCCTCCCTGTGCCCACAGGGAGCTGGTTCAGCATGAAGGCCACGAGTCCACACAGCCAAACTGCACTCGGCATGGATGGCCCACCCGACAGGGAGCCCGGGGCACGTCCCAGCCACGCCTCTGCATGTGCAGATAAAGGAAGCAGACTCAGCGGCAGGAAGGGGCTATCCTTCCGATTCGCCACACGACTTGGTTTCTGGCTCACATCATTATCACACTAGAGGAGATTTTGGAAGGCTGGGCTGTTACCTGGAGCCACAGAAACACAGCGTTAACAGGGAGTGCAGTGGTCTGCCAGCCCCTCAGTGGAGGAAGCCCAGGACTGTGTCTCAGCTAGCTGGGGCCTGCCTGGAGGCATCCATCGGTTTCTCCTCATCTCCAGACTGCTCCAGGAAGGGCAACGCTTGAGACGTCTCTAAGAGTTACGGGCCCCTCTTCTCTCTTGCTCCTTGTCCCTGGTTCCCAGCCCCAGGCAATCTCTCCAGTAGGGAATTGGGATGGCTAGGGGACGACAGCCTGCCTCCATAGACACTGCCAGCGCAAACACTGCAAATTCATGGCTGGATTTACGACTCCCAGCAACCTCTGACGCTCGCCTGGACCCAGCCAAAGGTGGAGCAGAGCAAGCTCGGTGGGGAAAGATGGCAGGAAGAGAAGTCAAGGTGCTGGCGAGGGAAGGCTCCAAGGATCCCAGACCTCGTCTGTCCTTTCTAGTGTAAGACACCACTGCTGACACTAAAGACCAGTTCCCTCTCCTTGCACGTCTCTGCACATGCCATGTCCTGCAAAAACCTCCACAGATGGAATTTTGCCTCCTTAAGAATAACGCTTTTTAACCATGCAGAAAGTGCATCCCTCCCCCACCTGCCACCATTCCACCGTTGTGCATTTGATGTCAATACTTGATTTAGTTCTCTCTGTTCACTACCCATTTATATACACTGACTTGAGTCTCACGCTTGTTATAAAGCATTACGAGCAAGTTACTGAGAAGGTGTTCCTTGATGGTCTCTAAGACATGAAGAACCACAAGAAAATAGCCTTGCCAAGCGAATACAGACTAATCGGAGATGAAACATTCCCGCTAAACTTTTAATGTAGCGCTCTGTTCAAAGTACCCTAAACTTCAATTGTCCATGAATCAAAAAGGAGAGTCCTGGGCTGAGCCCGGGTGAGCCTGCTGGCAGGTCACCAGGCGCACACTGTAACTGGCTAGGAATGAATGAAGCTCTCTGCCCTGGAAAGCAGGCATTTGTGAACCCAGCTGGGCTTCCGCAGTGCCTCTGACGCAGATGTTACCAATCGGAGGATCAGAATCACCTACCCAGGTAAATGTCTTTCCAAATACACCAGGAGAGCTCAATATTCCTGAGATGAAAGGGAGAAGCAAAAAAAAAAAAAAGTGTATTCCTCAAATAGCTCTGGGGAGATTTGGCCATGCTGCCGTCTCCTGGCCTAGTTGAGAACTGCAGCTTCCAAGTGACGTTGCCCAGAGGTGGGGTTGTCTTGCCAGCCTCTATGGTGGGGCCTGAAACAAATCTTAACTCCTTTCTGTGTGTGGGTGGAGCCACTGCTCTGCCTGCAAAGAGCTAAACTATCTGGCTTGTTTTACACAGTGCTGTTCTGATAAAATGGGAACTTTAAATAATCAAATGCCACCCACCAGCTATCTGGGCCTCATGTGGGATCTGGGCTGCCCAGGACCTGCATGGTTATCTCTGTAGACAATGAAACCAGGCCAATCAGAGCAGGGTCATGCATCCAGAGAGGGTCAGGCCTAGCATTTTTTAGGTTACTTGGTTGACACCCTCTCTCCTTTTAAAATTTATTTATTTGAAGGGGGGTGTGGAGAGAGAGAACAGAACAGAGAAAGAGAGGGACAGAGCCACAAAGACAGATCTTTTATTCACTGGTTTACTCACCAATGCCTACAATGGCCAGGGCTGGGCCCGGCTGGAGCCAGGAGACAAGAACTCAATCTAGGTTTTCCACATGGGCCACAGGGAACCAGGTACTTGAGCTACCACTGCTGCTTCCTAGGGTGCACATTAGCAGGAAGCCGGAATCAGGAGCAGAGCTGGGATTTGAACCCAGACACCCTGATACGGGATGTCGGTGGCCCAAGTGGCAGCTTAACTGCTCTTCCAAAACGCCATCCCAGCACACGAGTAACTTGGTCCAAAGATGTCAGCCCATACCCCTAACGTAAGCCACACCTCACACTTAGGACACCCACAGATGCCAGACTCTGATGCAACAGCTCCTGGGGTGCATAAGCCTTGTGCGGGATTCTGCATGCTGTTTTCAAGTGATTTTCCTAGGGCCACTCTGAGTGGAGCCTGGCCAGAGCCCAGTCCACAGCCTCCTCTCCCATCATACACCATGTAGCTCTAAAGAAGTTGAGTGTGAAATGAGATTTAATTACTCAGTACCTAGGCATTCTGAGAAGCCCCTCACTAACAACCCTTTCCTGCTGAAAAATCCAATCCACGCCCGCAGCGGGGCTTTTGCTGAGTCTGCTGTCTCCAGCCCATGGGCCAAAGGACAGTTCTTTCTGAGGTGGGACGGCAGGCTGCACTTCTGCCCTGGTCCCCTCACATAGTTAAATGAGTGAGGCTCAGAATTCATCTGTTTTCAAAACAAGGATGTGGCAGGCCCCAGAGGCCTC